ATCTTATTGGGCTATTCATCATCTTATTGGGCTATTCATCATCTTATTGGGCTATTCATCATCTTATTGGGCTATTCATCATCTTATTGGGCTATCCACCATCTTTGGGTTTCCTTGGATTGCTCAAAACACAAAGAAACGAAAACAAATCAAAAACAAAACACCAGCATTAGGAAAAACACATTTATTGTACAGAAAGTAATATTTCTAGGCCCATAGATTATGCATTACTTGACATACTTGCTTGTCCATTGCTTAGTAAGCTTATAAACTTGTATAATTTATGTAATTTAGTTACATTATTATACATATAYTCTTCTTTTTTTTCTTATTTCTTCATGATTTGTTCTTAATCATGAGAATAAAGGAAATTATTATTATCACTATTATTATATAGTTAGTTATGAGCAATTATCTAAAACTAAAACGTTTGACAACTAGTCTAGACAAGGGTTCTCGTAACAACAAAACAATTTTTTTCCCCAATCTGTTTTGCCCAGTTTTAAGAAATTAATTATAAGATTGATGGCTAGTGATTTGTTTTCAAAATCTACGAGAACCCTGCACTAGTTTGAAACATTCTCCTATATCTAATACTATTATCATTTATTATTTGTACACCAGAAAAATTGAACACCCTTGATACCACCCATGAGGTCCTTAATACCTGTCTCGATCGGGATCACCACCTTATCGTGGTGAGGCAGTTTGCGTGTCCCAGTGACCCCTAGAGCTATGCCGGCGGGAGTCATGTACTCCTGTTAGGGTCACCCATGCCGGACAGGTCAAAGGGTAGGGGCCAGACGAAGAGTGATCCCACAAGGCCCTATCAGTGCTAACCAAAGTTGCCCTACCAGGCTGGGAATCATCGTCAGACAGTGCCAAAAATTACCGATTAACCTGAAAGAGTCTAACCTTGTTGCCATTTATCAGTGGGCTGTTCTCTTGCTGAATGTTGTGTGTAAGTTTACCAGGTGATGGCTCTTTGCAGATTTTATGGGAGTGCGCTGATGACATAAATGACAGTCACTGTGAAGGTTAGTGTGAGTAGCAGTATAAATAATCATACCTTACTATTCATGGGTGTGCACAACAGTGATAAGTTTACAGTTTACCTACAGCAGCAAAACTATATCAACTAAAGAAAAAACAAATGGAAAACATTTAATACCAAGAGTTCAGCACTGGAGGGGGGGGGGGGGGGGGGGGGGGGGGGGGACCATAGGCAGGAATTTCCTAAAGGGACCAAAATTCAGAAGTCCATTCCGTTCGAGCCCCTAAAACAACTAACTAAAAATAAAAAAAGCATAAAGAATGGCATGGTGAAAATATAAATTATCATATAAATTCTAAAATGCCACAAAATGGAAAAAGGTCATTACCTAAAATTTACAGTTGCACCACAACCTGAGAATAAACCTTAAGATCATATTGTAAAATCAAAAATATCTTACTTAAAGTGTTCTGCTATAAACATTGTTCTATTTCATTATTCAATGAACCTTACTCACGTGACAGACATGTCATCTGGAACGATAAATTTCTTTACACATAGCCTCTCATTCACCCATGTGATGAATATATTAATACCTAATTCAATATATTATAGACCCAGTCCCTTAGCAGACTCTGAATACATTAATACCTAATTGAATAAACTATAGACCCAGTCCCTTAGCAGACTCTGAATACATTAATACTTGAATGAACTATAGACCCAGTCCCTTAGCAGACTCTGAATACATTAATACTTGAATGAACTATAGACCCAGTCCCTTAGCAGNATACATTAATACTTGAATGAACTATAGACCCAGTCCCTTAGCAGACTCTGAATACATTAATACTTGAATGAACTATAGACCCAGTCCCTTAGCAGTCTCTGAAAACATTAATACTTAATTGAATAAATTATAGACCCATTCCATCAGCAGCCTTGCATTTACCCATGTGATGAATATATTAATACTTAATTGAATAAATAAGACCTAGTCCCTCAGCAGTCTCTGAATACATTAATTGAATACATTATAGATCACGTCACTCTGATATATAAATCACTGTTGTGCAGTAAAACCTATGGGTAGTGGGGTGTGGTTATTTAGTAATTCTCCTACTTGCAATAATCCTCACAGTACAAAGGCTGCCTTGTCACCAAGGTACTCTCATGGGTCTGTAGGGAGTTCAGAGTCTGATATACTTATCACCAGTGTTTGCCATCAGAGGAGTCACCTGGTATGGTTTCATAAGATGGCTGTTGTCAGGACAGTAATTTACTGCTGTGGTCCTGGTAAGCGGTGGGTAGCAACAATCTGTGCTGGTGGGACCTCGAGGAGGTGGTGGTGCTGGTGAGACCTCGAGGAGGTATTGGTGCTGGCGAGACCTCAAGGAGGTATTGGAGCTGGCGAGACCTCGAGGTGGTATTGATGATGGGGGACCTTAGGGTGGTATTTGTCAAAAAGGGCGTGGAGAGGGTAGAGATGAAAGTCATTACACCTAGTTATGAAAAAAGTCTAAGTGTCAAATTACCTTACCAAAAACTGCTAATTAAATTTTTTACAAGTCCAGAAAATTCAAAGTTAAAATTTTTCTAAGTCAAATTGCCCTATTTCACTATGACATCACCAAATCCAATAGAAAATTCAACAAAATTTGCTACTAGCGAAACAGTTTAATCTAAAATGGCCTGGTTTTCAGATAACATATATGCGTTAACATGTACTAAAAAATATTCTGAGCGTTTGCTGGCTTTTCTACTTCTCCTTGTGGATTGATACGGGTTTTTAAACAATTTTCGTTGAATTTCCGTTGCATTGATCCCCTCCGACGACCATGATCCTTTGCGTTCAAACACTAGATTGTTTTGATGTGACGTCATAGTGAAATAGGGTAATTACCTTATCAAAAACTACTAGAGTACAAACACTAAAAGTTTGCAACACTTTGCACTATTTAGTCGTTAATAGTGCTAATTAAAAAATAGAAAACAATAGGATTAGCATAATTTAGCAGTATGTAGTGGTATTTATGTTGCACACTTATAGTGTTTGTACTCTAATTAAATTTTTTACAAGTCCAGAAAAGTTAAAAAARATTCTAAGCCAAAAAATCTAGGTATGAAAAAAGGCTAAGGCCCAGTTCATACGTCGAACTTTTCATGCTTCGAACCAATTTTTAAGATTTAAGATCATTCGACCATAACATTGAGTGTGAACCAATCATTAAAGACCCATTGCCACTTACCGTGATGCACCGCGATCACAGATGAATTTCGTGGTCCATGAAATGCAAAGATCATATATTGAATAACGTCATATTAAATCCTTTTCAGACATAGCACTAAGGCACAATAATTATTCTTTTACATTATTTTACGGCTTTAGGGACTATTTAAGAGTTTATTCAAAATGTTGGAATTGTTTTTTCAGTGGTGACACRATTCAAAATGTAAACAAATTGTGATGCATCACGGTAAGTGGCAATAGGTCTTTAAGATCGACTGAAGCGGTTGGGAAATACCACTTCAGAGCTACTCTGATTGAATTTTTCATGAACCAAACCTAATGCATATATTATATTTAATCCCAAAATGGGGGGGGGGGGGGGGGGGGTTTTATCATGAGCTGTGCATGCGCATAAACATCATCATGGCTTCCTGTGTTATATGAGAGGCTCGGCAGCTGGTTCTGGATCCTGGGAAACCAAAATGGCGTCCGATGATACAGTTAATGTCATTAACGTTGTCCACCAAAAAAAGACATTTACACATTTACACATTTAGACTAAAAGAAATATCAGGTGTTTCCTCAAAGGTTCTGGCATAAAACAAATTCTGAAATACCATTCTCCATCTTAAATCCTCACTAAATGGTCAGGGCATTCTGGATTTTTGATTCACAAGTTGAATTTTACATTTAAAGTTCAGGCTGACGCACACGAGGCAAAGAATACATAATGAAACACGTGATATATCTTTTAGTCTAAACGTGTAAATGTCTTTTTTCRGTGGACAACRTTAATGACATTGAYTGTATGCGTGATTCGTGTTTTGCAACCATGAAATATGTTTGTATTTCTTGTGAAATAAGTGTTCATGTTTTGAAAGCAATGAAGAACAGCCTGGTTGGGTTGCAGGAAGAAGTATGGGATGGCCGAGC